GGGCCCCCGCCGACCCCAGGCCACCGCCGAGCCCCAAGTCACGAGAAGGAGCTCTGGGCACGGCCGGGAAAGGAAAAAAGAGCATTTTAAAATGTATTTTTCTTTTCTTTACTCTCCCGTGCTTCTCCACGTTCCGCTTTATGTTGCCCCTAAATTAACCAAAACCAAGGAAAGTTGCCCAGCTTCCAGTCCGCGATGCGGGGGGGAAAATGAGGAGGGAGGCGCCTCTTCCCGCAGGGGGTTTGCGCCACAAAGAGCCCGCGCTCGCGCGTAATCCGCGCTGCGCTCTGCAGAGCGCGGGCGCACAACAACGGCGGGACATTTACATAGATTAGGGCCCCTTAAAACCTTTCCGCAAAACGCTTCGCAGTCGTGTTTTTGCTTTTATTTGTATGATTTTTGTTTGATTTTTGATTTTTTGTTTACTTGTTTATTATTATTATTATTATTGTTTTATTCGCACCAGTTTGCGCACCGGGGAGCGCGCGTTTGCTCTGGTGGGCGCGGGCAGGGCGGCCGAAAGTAAATGACAGGACGGGGGGAATCGCCTTTATATCCGTCTCCTGAAGTAAGACCTCAAAAGAGAAGGGGAAAACAAAAGAGGTTCTTATTCGTTTTTTAATTTCCCCTTTGGCTGTCACGGCGCTGCTCAGTGAGCAAAAGTTCCGCGTGGAAAAGGCACGCGGGAAATTCCCCCCCGCGGGAGAAGTTGCTCTCGCCTCCTGGGCAGCCCTTGCGAGGGCAGTAAATTCGATTATCATGAGAATGAGATGATTATTCCGCTCCCGCGCCACCCTCTGCTGCGTGCGGGGACGGGGAGATTCTGGGCCGCGCTTATGGCAGTGATTCTCCCTCAAAATTGGCTCCTTAAACGCTTCGGTGTTGGGGTTTTAGCCGGTAACGCTGATTAAAACGGCAGCTCTTAACGAGCGCACTCGGTGCAGCGTGAGGGGAGCGGGTGCGGGTGAAACCCCGGCGAAAATCGCCCAGCCCCGGGCCCGGCGGCGCGCGAAGCTCCTGCGGGTGTTTTATTTGTGTTTTACTATTTTTATGGCGCCGCTTCCTTCCCGTTGCGGGGAGCGGGCCCGGGCCGTGACGCCCGTTTCGCTGTGCGCAGGTTTGGTTCCAGAACCGCCGGGCCAAGTGCCGCAAGCAGGAGAACCAGCTGCACAAAGGTAGGAGCCGGGGAGGGGGGCGGCCGCCCCCTCGGGTTCGGGGTGCGGGAAGGAGAAGCGAGTCCCGGGGGACGGGGGGGACAGGGGGCTCGGGGACTCTCTGTCCTTCCCCTCGGGGGAACCGCGTCGCGAGGGACTTGCGGCTGCTCCCTGGGGGGTGCGGGGAGGCGCGGGCTGCCCCCTCGGCCGTTGCGGGGGGGATAAAGCGCGTCC